GTAAATGTCATTTTTATTAGTTTTCTCAAATTTATTATTCAGCTTGTGGCAAACTGTAATGTGTACCATTAATTAGGTAATATTCTGTGAAATAATGCAGTCAACATTTTGTATATTACCTAGTCAGAATTGACCTTAAGTCTCCACAATGGCATTCCATCACCAGGTACAGGTTCTTGGCATCTTGGAAAGCAAAGTGAAGCTTAGTGATCCAGGGACTGGTGGCCCTGACCAGTACATCAAGGTCCTCCAAGAGAAATGATACATCCTGATAAAACAAAAGATTCAGTATTTCTGTCAAATATTAAAAGATGAAAGGCCTAGGTCTCAATGCAGAACAAGCTGATACATCAGGATCTATACTTTTAACAGAAGTAGAACAGCAATGACCTTAATCTGCCTATTAATTGCCTCATGATGACATATCTTAATGGACAATATGAAAGTTTAGATCTGTCACTGCAAAAAGGACAGTACAAATATGAAAGAGTAATTCTGTCACTGCATAATCAACAATATGAATATGAAAGCCTAGATCTGTCAATGCATTATTGACAATATGAAAGCCTAGATATCCTGCTGCATACTTGACAGTATGATGAAAATCTAGATCTGTCACTGCATGATTGACAGTATGAATATGAAAGCCTTGATATATCACTGCATGATTATCATTATGAATATGAAAACCTAGATCTGTCACTGCATACTCAACTATGAATATGACAGCCTGGTTCCATCACTGCATAACTGGCAATATTAATATAAAAACCTAGATCTCATGCTTCATACTTGACAGTATGACTGAAAATCTAGATCTGTCACAGCATAATTGACAGTATGAATATGAAAGCCTTGATATATCACTGCATGATTATCATTATGAATATGAAAACCTAGATCTGTCACTGCATACTCAACTATGAATATGACAGCCTGGTTCCATCACTGCATAACTGGCAATATTAATATAAAAACCTAGATCTCATGCTTCATACTTGACAATATGACTGAAAATCTAGATCTGTCACTGCATAATTGACAGTATGAATATGAAAGCCTTGATATATCATTGCATGATCATCAGTATGAATATGAAAACCTAGATCTGTCACTGCATACTCAACTATGATTATGATAGCATGGAACCATCACTGCATAACTGGCAATATATATATGAAAGCCTAGATCTCTTTCTGCATACTTGACAAAATGTCTATGAAATCTAGATCTGTCGCTTCATAATTGACAGTTTGAATATGAAAGCCTTGATCTGCCACCGCATGATCATCAGCATGAATATGAACTATAGATCTGTCACTGCATAATCAAGAGTATAAACATGAAAGCCCAGATCTGTCACTGCATAATCAAGAGTAGAAACATGAAAGCCCAAATCTGTCACTGCAAAACAACCTAATGTGTCATGGCCTACACTTTTAAAATTCAATTATAAATACAACAACACAGACCCTAATCTATCAGCTCCTTACATCATAATAACAGATCTTGGCCTATTGTATTTGAAGTTCATTCTGTATTATACTAAGCACATCACGACTGCATAAATCTAAAATTGTATCATTTGCCTGGAAACAAGATTTTCATAGAATCCAAGAAACACTTGGAATTTTCATACAATATTCATTCCTGGCAAGGGACGAAATATTTTACTTCTTTGACAAAGTATTTTTCAACTTGGCTGTTAGACAAGTTATCGAAATTATCTAAGGATGGTATTGTAATTCGGGATATAGCATCATTAACTTTGCACAAGTTTTTTTCTATTGGCATTGTGCATCCATGGGTATTTTGCTATCGATGGAGCCAAATTTGAATAACTCTAGTTGCTGTTTAGAGGAGTCAAATCTGAATGATTCTCATTGCCTCAATAATCCTGAAACAATTTTATATTTTAACAATATTTCAATGAACATTATTACAGTCTGCTCTCTTGAATTGCAAGTAAATCCCATTTATTTTAATTAAAAACACACAGTATAAAGCCAGTCATCTAGTTAGATCATTCGATTCCAAATCGACTTTTTAAAATTATTTCCCCCATGATCAACATTTAAATGGATTCATTGAGAACCATATTAGATTCTTGTTTCAATTATAAAAGGTTTGCTGTAATAAAACAATGTACTTATTGAGAGAAAATAAACATCATCTCACATATTATTCATGGGGTTCAATACCGCCTACCACCACCACTGCAGAATTCCAATACAAATATTTTCTTGTGTTTTTAGCACCGTATCTGCATAATCAAGAGTAGAACCATGAACACATAACTCATGGTGGAAATGGCACTGAAACGTACATAAAATAATCACTCTGAAAAAAATTTCTCAAAAGTAAGTGAACATTAAATTTTCGAGAAGACCTGTATAATGAAAACAATATAGAAGATGAGTGGTGAACACTTTACCTGAAGACAATGATATCACTTTACCATTACTACTTACTGACATAACCTTAATGAAATTATATCCTGATTTGTTTATCATAACACACACACACACACACACACACACACACACACATATATATATATATATATATATATATATATATATATATATACACACACACACACACACCTTTACACCAACCTCTAGTACTAATATTAGTACCTTAATCATTTTGTGGACACAAAATAAGTTGAGGCTACGACATCGTAGCTAACCAACCTCTTGATGTGCTACGATTTTGTCCTTATGCAGAATTCTCATCGCATACACTTCTTTCGACATCTTCTTCTGAACGATCTGAACCTCTCCGAACTGTCCCCTGTTGATGATATATTTGATCTCATAATCCCATGCAGATACTGGCAACTGCTTGATTTTTGTACCGTTGCCATCATCTGCAAGTAAAGGTCATTTATTTGAAGCTCTTATTTAATGTATTTATATAACAAATGGCTCACACAGGCCCGGTATAAATTATGAGACATTGATTATTGCAGTTAACATTCTAAACAACTGACGAAGTTTTGTTGGCATGTTTTAAATTAAATAATCTTATAATTGTAGCCATTTTAATTTGCGAATTTTGATGAAATCTATTTGAAATGGTTCTAATGCATTAAGTTTCAGACAATTTTACCTCTTGTTCATTTTCTATTTGATTTTGAAATGACCAAACATTTTGAAATTAAGCTTGTATTAAATCAAAATTAATCCCGTCTGTACATATAAATTTTCAAAAGTTTCATTTTTGGAATAGGCATCTTCGATAATTTCCTGTATGTTTGGAATAATGAGTTTCTATGGTAACAGGCGCAGTTGTTAGAATATGATATTTATAGAACTCAAAAACGACGTTGCAACTTCAAATTCTGGAGGTTTTGCTTAGATTATCTATGAAAACCCAAATGCATATGTACTTTATGTGATAGAAAGTTATGATCTTAGAAAAGGACAAAACTCCTTTTGAGTTTCATGATTGTATATCTTTTCGTGTTATACATTAATTTACCTATAAGAGCTGGTGCTGTTAGAGAAAAGATATGTCAACATTCGCTAAAAAGGTACCACAACATAAATCTCTTTACAAATATTATGCTCAAGACATTGATTTACAGTCTTGTTAGTTTATCAATTTTAAACAAATACTTCATTAAGTGATGTAGCAAGCTCAGCCAGTCAGATTAATTCAATTAACAAGTTTCTTAAAACTAAACTTGTCAGATACTTTAATTACCCATGTCTTCATACCGATTTACATGAAAATCTCTTTTTTAAGCTAATCAGATGTCAGTTCCCCAAAATACAACCAATTAGATTTCACATCACCTAATTAATGTGTATTATGCCACATCATATATATATATATATATATATATATATATATATATATATATATATATATATATATATATATATATATATATATATCAGATGATAGAACTTCAATGAGTTGTTGAAATCTTATATAGTACGTTTATTAAAAATCGACTGTGTTATTGGTCATAATCTCAACCAATCAAATACATTAAGTTGCTGTTCATAGTCATATTCTTCAGAGATCTTTATGCCTGGATTGTTTTTGTAGTGGTGCTCATCCTCTCCCTCAAAACCGTGCAAAACAAACAAAACAAAAATTCTAAATTATGATGAATCCCCAATTTTAGCAATACCTTCTTAAAGTTATATTCTACGTTGAAGTTATCTGTATCCGTATATTGAGAACATAGTCAAATTCTCGTTAGCCAAGGATAATTCTAGTTATGACGTTAAGCTATGCAACAATTTTGATGAAAATACGTTGATAAATAATCCTCAACATTATCCTGGAAACAAGCTTACATTCGGCCATAAGGTGATGCAAAATCAATTCATTAATTAATGCGCGTAAACAAGTTGTAACGAAACTTTTTTTCATTAATTTGATTATATCAGCCAATTCATTTAAATTCATTGTAATCAGCCCGAAATTACACTATTGCCTCTTGGGTGGTAAGAAGGTGAGCCAGTTTGATGCCTGAGATACACTTTTACGCATAGACCTTTTTTTCTAATTAAACGTGTTCTTGATATCGACGATGTATTGTTTTTATATAAACCAATTGCATAAAATCTCTCCAGAAACAATGGCTCAACAATAAGGTTAGCAAATCACGAGATTATTATACATTTATTTCAAATAAACTAATGAAGTCCAATCAATTTTCTGATCAGAAAATTTCTGAGAAATTTCGACATTTATTTGTAGTAAGCTCAGACAGACCGACAGAGATAGACAGATAAACAGACATACAGACGGACAGATAGATATATAAACAGATATCCACAGATAGATAGAAAGATAAATTAACAGACAGATAGACGGACAGAAAGACCAATAAACATACAGACAGACGGATAGTCAGATAGAGATAAACAGATGAACAGATAGACAAATAGATAGATAATCAATCTTATTAATTCATCTTTACTAGACCCTTACCAATATGCTTAAAGAGAAAGGTGAATAAAGCAAGTCTTTGTTATCACTCCACCTGGGATAAAACCCACGACCTCCCGCATCCGAGGCGGACGCTCTAACCACTATGCCACCGGAGCGGTAAATGACGAAACATACAGGGAGAAAGTTAACTGATGTTTACGAAAGAGACAATACAAGCCGCCACAAAACATGTGTTGTTGAAATCTCAGATATTAAAAACTTCTTGGGCTTGGGCGCCTGCTTTTAAACACAGACGATGTTATAAATTCCAGTAATTGATAACCTGTTTTTAACCATAGATAACTGTCTTGGGATTGGGTGCCAATTTTTAAACAAAGACGGTTTTGCAACTTTTTTATATTTAGATACGCTTTTTTCTTGTTTTTTTTTCTTAAACACATAACATTATTTATTTACTTTTGGATGCCTGTTTTTAAACACAGAAGGTATTTCTTAGGTTTGGATGCCTATTTTTAACAGCAGATGATGTGTCTTGAGTTTGGAAGCCTGTTTTAACGACACATGGTATTATCAAAACGCAGATATGTTATTTAAACGCCTCACTGACACGTGTTCAGACAGCAACGTGTTTATCAGATTGTTACTTTGAGTAAGATCAGATATTTGAGCACACACTCCATTTTTATTTCTGTACGATGATGAAAATAAAATTACTAACCATCATTTTAAAAAGAGCGGAATCACACAAGTTAAATCGTGTCTCATCTAAGCCAATGTATAATATTGGCCAGTCTTTTGAACGGTGCGATAGAACTGTGCGAACACATCTTCTCGTATTCCCGAGCTAAGTTTCGGATTCGTTACACCGGAGTAGAGCAGATATTTATGTCCTTATGTAATAACGATAACAACAATCTATTGCACACGTGTAGGACAAAAAATTCCGCTATTGTGGCAAAGAATTTCAAATGTGTGAAGAATGTGTTTTCACATACATATAAAATAAATAATTTATCTCAGTTGTTAAAACTGTTTGATATTTTGAAATATTGTAAAATTATCTTTAATAAAACTCTAGAAACAAAATATATGTGATAACTTTTCACTTGTGCGATATATATATATATATATATATATATATATATATATATATATATATATATATATATATATATCATATCATATCATATCACATATTTAAAAAGATTTTTACGTGACTCGTGTAATAAGTTTCAAACATATGTGTCAATACCACAATACTGAAAGAAGAATATGTGTGATAAATGTCACGATATAGCATTTCTATTATTTATCCAACGCTATTATGCTTTATAAATCATTTCGTAATACCGATTTTTTCTCACATTGGTTTGACGTAAATATATCAGTACTCGGTATTTTTTGTTTTCTTTTCTCGTTAAAGTTAATGAAATACATGGCAATAAATTGACTAATGATAAACTTACTCTTATGATGTAAATATAGTTAGAAGACAAAATACACATAATGCTAAGATCATGCAAACTATTTAATGTGCAATTTAGAATTATAAACGCATCCCAAAACTCTGTTGCTGCACGATTGGCAATATATGTACTGTACTCTCCACCCACTGCAGATTTTTGGGTCAAAAATATAAGCCTTTTCTAAGTAACCAGTACGTGTAAATCAGATCAGAAGAAAGTGAAATAACGATTATGTTCCTGTAATGTTATTCAATGTTATAGAATCAGCAACCTCTTGTCAATTTCGATGCACGGTGTGTGTGTGTGTGTGTGTGTGTGTGTGTGTGTGTGTGTGTGTGTGTGTGTGTGTGTGTGTGAGAGAGAGAGAGAGAGAGAGAGAGAGAGAGAGAGAGAGAGAGAGAGAGAGAGAGAGAGAGAGAGAGAGAGAGAGAGAGTAGTTCCCTTCCTGAATTATGTAACGGAGAATTGAAGGAATCCCACGTCAAAATAAACATATCGGTCTCCGGCGAGCTGCGAATTTTCACACTTGGCCGGGATATAAACGCTAGCCCTCTTCCTGTAGGTAGGAGCTGACTGCCTGTCACGTGTAATGTCAGGTATGAAGTCAGGCAAATATGTAGCGACCTTAATACCTTCACATCTGGCACTGGGATGTACATTTGAAATAGTCACTTGTGATCCGATTTATGGGTAAAAATATTGGAATAATTTTAAAATGAGTAAAATTAACATTTTTAGAAAAAAAAATATTATCTTTAATAATCGAATTAAACAGAATACATGCCTGACATCAATCATTCTGTTTTCAAAAATTACAAATCTGTCGCACATTCAACATCACCAAGCCTTTTTCACTTTACTTTTGCCAATGCTAAAGTCTGTTTTGACGATAGTTTTGAAACGATTTACACTTTAAAGGCATCTAAACAATAACACGAGAGCAAGGAATAAAAGCTTGAAATTGTCCTGATTTTGTACTAAACATTTTGGATAACAATGTCCACAAGTTTCAATTTTAATTGAAGCTGTTTATATGCATAAAAATCCAAATTATGCTTGAAAAATACATTTCTTTTAAATTTATAAAAAAAATAAAAGCTATTAATCATAAATTGTCAAAAAGTAACATACATACATACATACATACATACATACATACATACATACATACATACATACATATATATATATATATATATATATATATATATATATATATATATATATATATATATATATATATAAGTTTGTTTATAAATTATTTTTTCCATCCACTCACTGGCAACAGTGAAAAAATAAACTGCAGGGGAAATTTTCATGATATTGTAATATTAGTCCCATACGTTATGAGTGTTATGTATATTTAATGAATTATTTGTTTGTTTGTTTTATTTTTTAAAATTCTATTATATACTATTGTAATGTAACATTGAGTGCAGTTCTGTTTGACCTGAATTATATTTTTAATTTCACTGGCATAAACAACTAATAATAGAACATTGTATCATGTTTCTGATATTGTAACAAATTCGGTGACAGTGTTGGTAAACAACTTTAAATTTTTTTGTTATCTTTCTCAGAGTAACAATCATTAAGTTAACTCAGGGTCATACCTTGTCTACGTGACAAGTAGCCTTATATTAACTGATAAACCTCTATTTTTTCCCCAGAAAAATGAATAGATGACCCTCATCCGGCAATCTGTTTTGCATCTTAATAAGCGTATAACATATTTGATAGAAGTTTGTCATTTGGGCTCCAAACAATTGATACGTTAAATTGTTATTATATTATGACCAGTTTGGCTTGGATTTTTTTCCTTCAAATTACTGGATTCAAGTGATTATTTACCTTGAAAATACATAAGTGCTGATAAAATTCTTGGAATGAGACATTTATTGGAAGTTTTACTGAATTCAAAACTGGAATAATATTTTCTTTGATTCAACAAAGGACTATTAACACAGCAGCACTTTGCTGACCACAACATACATCATCGCCTTCCATTTTGGATTTCATCGGGACTCGAACTCAATTTCTTTCAGGACTTTTTATTACTAGGACTTCTATTTTTAATTCGCAAAGCCATACGTTCTTTTTCTTAATTTGTTACTTTGTAGTTTAAGGAAATAAACTATTTGTTACATTTTAAAAAGCTTTTTGTATTCACTCTTTTCTGTTACTTTTTTTAAAAGTAGAGCCTCATAAAAATGATGAAGACAAAAAAATAAATTTTGCCCTATGTGATTACAATGACAATCACTGAATACATTCAACATATAAAATCTAAAGTCTCAACCTAGAAAATGGAACTTTAAGGATATGCAATTTGATCCAACACGTGATTTTGGATTTCTCGACATACGACATTGAAATTTCAACTGCAGCTTTTTCACTGGACCAGCTTTTGTCCGCTACGAAGCCTGATAATTAAGCACACACACCCCGGACATAATCAGGTTTCAAATAGTAAATCAGTACATGAACTCATTTCTGTACATCTTTAATATCATTTATGCTTTTCGTATTTTATGTCGGTAGGAAGGTACAAACAAACGTGGAAGCATAGTCAGACTTATATTGTTATAGTGTTCTTTGTGTGCAATTCAGGAATGCTTTTTTATCACTAATCTGATTTGTTTAAGAATTTAATTATGTACGAGATGATGTTAATATCTTGCTCAATACGGTCATCCTTTCACTGGATAGACAAAGTAACAAAGTAAATAAATATATAAATAAATGTATAAGTAGGCATAAAAATACGAACTAAATATGCACAAACGCTATCTACATGAAATGAAAACAGATTGTTTTATCCCCGAAACGGTTCGTCTCTATATATTACGTCCCCTATTCAATACTAAAGTCACAATGGAACATGGACGCCTGTATTTTATCTGTGCGGCGACAGGGAATCAATGTGATCACCCTGTGACTGTTTTGTGCGACTTTGCGTCATTCCTTTTCCTAAATATTACCATTAAAACAGCAGAAACATTGAACAACAAGAGCAACAACAACCATAATACTTTTATTTTTATGAGGTAATATTTAATCTACCTATATTAATAGAATATAATACCGTACACAGATACATAAATACGTTGGACTTGAACATTTCACAAAGTATGCAAGCAGGTTTGGTAGCTGGAAAGGTTGCGGAGACAACCAAAATTAGCTATCTGTCTTCATTTGTGCTATGGCGTAAACACGAAGACGAAATCTATGAAACAAGTTCTTGAAAGAAAAGTGTGCTTGCTTAATATCATTGGGAATTGATTTTGCAACAGGTTATTAATATCGGGAATAAGAGACTAGCCGCTCAGGAGCGAGAACTGTGTAATTTTAAATTAACCGGATTAAATAGTTTATTGTGTGAATTTCAGTCCAATTACAGATTTCACTTAAATTCTGTATTTCAAATCTCGTTGCTGGAAATATTGGAAAAAAAGAACAGAACTAAACATGACACCCGTAACTGAGCAGAATAATTGTAGTTCAAATCAGACAAGTAGTCAACCGATAGAAAAAAAATATGCGGGGAAAAATCTGACCTCATTGAGAAAATTGTCATTCCTTTAACATGCAATATAATTATTATTATTATTATTATTATTATTATTATTATTATTATTATTATTATTATTATTATTATTATTATTATTATCAATTTCAAATAAAAATCG